AGTGTTAATAGACATTTTTCGGATGGGGTCAGTGCCTAGTATTACAAAACAATGCTAGTTTATGCTTCCCAAAAGATGTGCTCAACGAGAGTGCTGAGTGACATTTCTTCACTTCGCAACGTTTATGGAACGACGTAGCGTTTATGGAACACCTTGCGACGCAGTAAGGGGAGGGCAACTACAATACTCTTAACAAAAGCTAGCCTTCAATTCTGACAGGAACCTATTAATTTACCTAGAAAGTTAGTTACGTGGGTTTCTGATAATGTCAAGAACATTACCTTTCTATTATTAGCAACGCTGAATATTTAGAAAGAGGACTATTGTAACAATGGTATAATAAGAAACAGTAGAAGGCACAAAGAAAATATATAGATTCATTTGTTATGAAAAAGTCAATTAACCATCTTTGCTGAAAAGTGAAGTAAAAAAAGTATCAGTTTAATTAATTATATCACATACTCTTGTTCGTATAAATATTTCGTCCGTGTAATACTAAATTAAATCAGTTTGACACTTTTAAATTTGAATTTAATCGGCAATGAAGGTCATATATACATAACTGGCACGTAGTAAAACTTCTGTTTATTGCTCTGTGAAATTATATTGATGGCAATCGTCTACTGCTGATTAGCACGTGTTTGAGGGGCGATGCTCCAGCAGACGCGATAGCAAAACAGCAAATAGACATTTTTATTTATTTAATTTCTCAGATTCATCTCACTGTCCCACTTTGTAACTTACCACACTTATGTAGAACGTTTTAGAAATTACAATGGTATTTTTTGATAATGAAATTTTTTAATTAACGAGTTTTTGAAAATATTACAATAAAAAAATAGATCAAAAAATTATTTTTAAAAAATTCAATGAATGTAATACATATATCAAATGAAAGACTATATTTTGTTCTTTCAAGTCGCAAAGTATTAAATTTCTGTTACAATTACAACAGGATTTAAAATGATTAACTTTAGCAATGCGAGCATTTTATTGAAAACTTTGAAAATTAATATAATTTTAAAAAACAATATTTTGGGAAAAAAATAAAAAACAGGAATTTAATATTTTTACTTATACTCTTCTCAGAAAAAAGTTTTAAAATCTGGGACATCAAGGTCAAATTTTCCGTAAATTTGTACAATTTGCCGTGGAATGACTCACACACAGAATAACAACCAATTTGATGTTGCAACAAAGAAACACCGACAGTCGGGAACCTATTTCATGTAGAAGATTCTAAGTTATCTATTAGCATTCGATACAAATGACGTTAGGTTATAATAGGACTGAGCACGGAACAAGACATCAGAACCCAGGTGTCACTACATAATCACTTCACATTGCAATTCAACATGTTAGAACGCTCCCAAAACTGTGCAAAAGGAAAAAATCGCACCACACGCGTAGCAAACCAAAGAATGTTCCAAAAGGTTTCGCCAGAATTATATATGTACCTAAAAATGAAGCATGCATTTTTACTTTCTCGCTACGGAGTAGAGAGAAAGCTATGTAATGCTGGGCGTAAAAACGGCTAAATTTCAGCAGAAAAACTCTTATTACAGGACCCTGGTAACGGAAAGGGGAATATGTCCAGTTGCTAAATTTAGAAAAAAAACCCTCTAACACGTACTGTAGCCAGAATCAATGTTTTGTGGGCCCTTCAGATTTAAAAATCGAATGGCGGCAAAACGTGTGTCTGTCCGTATGTTAATAATCCTCGCGGCTAAACCATACAGCCGATTTTCTCCAAAACAGTTATTCCTCGATCTACCGGACTGATCTCACGGCCCTTTGAATTTGAAACCGAAATTTTAGTTGGGGGGGGGTACTTTATATGTAATCTCTTGGATATTTTCCAAATTTTCAAAAAGATAGATTTAGGTTCAATTTTCTTGTTGGATATTGTGAAGGACGTTTAAGAGAATGGTGCAGATGTCATGTTGGTTAAGAAAACTGATATTTCGAAAATTGTAAAAGTTCGCAAATTTTTTGAAGTCTGCCTATAACTAAAAAATTAAAGAGACATTTTGCTCTTAATGACACCTGTTTCTTAAAGATAGATTTTGTAATACGGTCATGTACATTTTTTTGAAAATTTGAGTACCTTTCGCATAATTTTGTGTGAAAACGAGAGCTAGAACGAACGTACGTGCTGATTTAGCACAACTAGTTTCGTTCAAATTACGTCCAATCTGGTCCGTCACTTTTCTGTACCGTCGAAAAATGGTGAAAAAAATGACCGTGTAAAACGGGCTTAACTTTATTATCTAATTAAGATGGTAGGATTTTCGAATTTGCTAGTTAGCTAAGTCGAATTCAGTCGCCGCCTGATGGAGAATTCTAGCGGCCGACTGCTCTGATCGGTAGTTTTCCGTGGTTTCTCCGATCAACACCAGGCGAATGCCCTAACAAACGGGCCATGGACCGCGAGCGATCTTCCCCACTTCTTCCTTGTCCTGTCCTCACCCCTTACACACACACGATGTGTGGTTGTACAGTTCATACTAACGTGTGCATAAGGGGTGAAGATATGACAAGGAAGAGGAAGGAAATATCGCGCGCGGTTCATGGTCCGTGGTTCTTAGTGTACTGCTCTGGTGTTCGCCCGGTGTTGATCGGAGAAACCACGGAAAACTACGGATCAGAGCATTCGGCAGCTTGTATTCCTCCTACAGACCGATCGGGAGCTTGGAGCGTGTCCCGGCATTGGTGGGAGATACCTGGTTAGGGGAAATCCCTCTAGCCGGCGGTAGGGCGGCGCCGGATCTCACCATTCAGCGGGGGAAGACTACAGCCACCTCCCGAGCAAACACATGCACTGCATATTACGGGACTAATGCCCTTAGTGGTTGACGCGCCCGGAATCACTAATAATCACTACGTCTTTGCCTTTGCAGCCACGCGGCACCCATGGGCCGCGACGCGCAGGGCCACAACGTGGTGTGCCTGGGGTGGAACCCGCAGGACCCGTCGGCCTTCGACCCCGAGGCCTGCGCCTTCATCGCCTTCGCCTTCGCGGAATTCGTCATCCGCGGCGCGCCCACCTCGCCCGGCTTCGTCTTCGTCATGGACGCCAGCCAGCTCACCACCACGCACATCACCAAGCCCTCCATCTCGCTCATCAAGAAGGTGCTCGCCTTCGTGCAGGTCAGCGCCACGCTCTGTCACTTTTATTTCCTCGACGAGTGTACGTAGGGTAGAGGAAGTTATGTAAGTATTTGGCGTTTGGGGCAGACTGTCGGACTTCGCAAGCTAGCTAACAGTGTCCGCCAAGGCTGGGCCCACTTTATACTTCGGTTTTTTATAACGCTACTAGGTATCGCATCATCGCGACCGTATCAAGCAGTGCGATATGTCTAGCGGCTTCTAGAGAAAGACGCGAAATGCCGTGTGATACTCCATATTGAAGACAGGCCATTCGCGGGACATGTTATAAAAACTGAAGTATAATTCCCAAACTTGGGGGAGGGGAGAGAGAGATGTGGCGAACACTCCGTATTCCCTTCACTGTTACTAGCAAACTTCGCCTTTCTGACCTTTTGGTTATCACACTGCTATAGAAACAGAGATGATTTTAAAGGATAGCTTGAATTATATTTGAGAAAGTTATGTAATTATACAAAAATCAATGTCGAGGATTCAACGGAAATACACGTTTGGTTTTTTTTGTAAAATTGTTGTGCTGTTACGTTGTAAAATTATTTTTGCTTTCTCGTATACAAGTAGATATACGAACGAAGTAATATGTTGTAGAGAGAAGAAAAGCGATGGAATGCTGATGAAAATCGATTTCGAGATTTCATTGGAAATACATGTATTGGGGTCCCTGATAGCGCAAAAGTATTGATTTGTTTTGTTGTGTTTTTTTTTCCTTCAAACCTTCGTCCGTTTGAAAACAACACAAGAGCCTAAACTATTTGTACAATGTTTTCTAAGTTGAATATTCCCCGGTCGATCTGGTCCGACTCGAAGCTCTGCGATTTTGAAATTTTGGGGATGTTTTACATGAAATCACAGTGACAGTTACAAAAATTTCTCTCGTTTACAGAAACGTTTAGCTGGCTTTCCGTGAAAATTACAAGCGCCAAACCGAAGTTTTTTTTCAAAAAACTGTTTTTCCGCCATTGCACAGGAGCGAAGTTTTCATTGCACAGGAGGAACAACAGTTTTCATTGCACTGGAGCGAATATTTTCTTGTCAATTCTTGCCAAAAACTCCCATGCGTATCTGGTTTCGTAGTTCAGCTTAATATATAAGTGAGAGCTGGGGTAGGAATTCCAGAAAAGAAATCGCACAGATTGCACTTCTCCATACGTCACAGTTTTTAACTGTTACGACGATAGTCTAATTAATTAAATAAGCAAATAATTCAACCTGGCAGAACTCAAGACGCTACGAATTTTAAAGAGATATTTTCCAGAATATACCACCAATATCAAACTCGCAAGTCTTACGTTCAGCTGGTAATTAACCACCTTGTCTGTACTATACATGACCTTTCATAATCATTGATATTTCCATAAAAATCCAACAGAGAGACTTAAGCAATCGATTTATTCGAATTAATCACCTATATTTTTACCATGCATTGTATTTGAACGCAAATCTACCTAAGAATATTTCAAAACATCGTAGCTATATCTAGGTTCTCTGGTGTTGTAGGACGGCGTTCCGTCTCGAATTGTAGCAGTGCATGTGATACGTCTGAATCCTGTGGTGGACAGATTAATGATGCTAATCAAACCCCTGTTATCAAAAGAGACACAAGAAAGGGTAAGTACTTAGAAAATTATATATATATTTTATTCCATCCTCAAGGCAGGTGATAAACATAAGGAACAAAAAACTATAAATATACTACGGCACTTATAGAATAGACTAACTGAAAAAGCATAACATACATAATGATCAAGATACTGTATCAACCTAACTAAAAGATACACAATGGCTATGAACGCTCGCAGACACTTAGTAAAACTCCAAAACCAGTCCACATGGAGTGGTTACAGTACGAGAGTCCATCACGCCCAGTCACAAGCCCACCCCAAGTGGCTCTGCTATGGTGCCTTAGCCGTAAAATCTGTTAATGAAGGTCGATGTTTGTCACTACATGGTATGAAAACAGACGTTAACATATCAACATATGTTCTTTATGCCTGCCCTGAGGCTAGAATAAAAATATTCCGAAACGTCGACAAACTCAATTTTTTATGTTTCAGTTTACTCCGATCAAATCCCGTGATCTCAATTTCCAATTAAAATAAATATACACATTTTCCTTACATATGCCGGCTTACATTTATACTACGCAACAATGCATTTCATTTTATATAAATACAACAACCTAGAACGAGAAACAAACTTATCAAAAACAAACACGCAAATGCACACAAAGAAACAAATTTCAGGAAAATTAATTAATGATTCCTATATTTATTTTGTAAATAGTGGTTACAATATACTGAAAAAATTAAATAAAAATATACTCCTTATATTAGGGAATCAAAATTAGATGTGAAAGACTTCCATAAATATTTGATAATAAGTCTAAATTTTATTTGAAATGTTTATCTCAAGAAGCTACAATGTTGCGAAAATGATTTCATCTCACCCTTAGATTGAGAATAAGCTTTTCAACCTTGTTGCTTGTATCGTTCTGTAAATGATATGCTAAGAAATGGTTGCGATTTATTTCGATTTATATGATGCAATCGAGACAAAATCACATAAATGTTCTACTAATGAAAAAGGTCGTAGATGTTTGTTTCGTAGACCGTAATTTACGAAACAAGACATACTTGAACCTTTAGCCGCTTTCATAGATATTTAGATTTTCTGCGTACCCTAAATTAGGAAGTAATGAATGTGCAGAATCACGAACTCTAAGTGAAATTAAATTGACTTTAATTATTTGATAGTGCAATTTAATTGTGCAGGATTCACCCTTTTGTTCGTTATTTAACCGAAATAATGTTAGAATATTTATCCACGCTCAATAATCGACCTATAAGTTGCAACACCTTGTTTGTATAAGGCCTATCCGTTTCAACGTGTGTTCCAATTCGAAGATATTTTCACTTTTAAAACACTGATTTATTTTAAATTTGTTTTAATATAATTTACCTTAACTTTAATGTAAACAAAAATGACCGCGTAAATATTTGAGCTTTCGCAAGTTGAAGCAAAGAAAATATATAATTCGTTCACATCTCACATTTGCCCCCAGCTTCACTTCCACTCCAAGAATCTGGACGCATTCTATGAAGCCATCCCCAAGAGCTTGCTGCCAGAGGACTATGGTGGCGAACAGGCTCATTCCTCGAAGTTTCACGGTAATTATTGTTTTATTCATTCATTTAAGGACAAAAACAGTAGAAACGTGGGTGACGTGTGGGGAGACGAAAGATTGAGCTTCCAGGGCAGCGCGGTGCTCCCTTCCCTCCCTGGGTATAGGGCACTGGGTTGAGCCTTTAGGACCCCCCACAGCAAGAGCGCTTCGGCGTTGCGCAGCTGGTAGAAGAGCATTGGTTTAAATCAGGGTTGTACAACTGGCGGCCTGCGGTCCGGATCCCCCTCCAATTAATGAAAATTTGACCTGCAACTATCTGAAAGGTTTTAGTTGTGGCTCTTGAGGCCTTGCAAGTTGGACACCGGTGGTTTAATGGAGATCTTCGCACGTGTGGCGGGTTCGTGCTGCTGTGGTGTTCGGTGGTGGACCTTCACCACGAACAGAGCAGGAGGGCGTTCGCGCCACATCTAGCAGAACACAGTTTAGGGACTCTTCACACGTAGACACGGCAGCGCGCTTCCAAACTGCGCGGCTGGTAGCAAAGCAGTGTTTAAATGGAGCTCTTCCCACGTGCGGCGAATTCGCGCTGTCTTTCGGTGGCGGACTCTGGCGACAAGCAGCCCGGGACGGCGTCCGGGCTACCACGCCGCTTATCGCCAAGCATTGGTTTTAATGGATGTTTTCCTACTAGAACCCTCGTTGCAGCGTTTTACCAGCGGTACCTATGTTCGTCGTCGGCGAAAGATCAGCGAAACCTATCCCCATAGGACCCTCCCCCTTCCACGGCGAGCGGCGGCGTGGAAAGCGCCCTGCCGCTTATCGAAAGCGCTCCTGCGTGACGTCGTGGAAAAGGGCCCTTTGGGCCCCTCCCGTCGTGGACACAACCGCGCGCTTTGAACCTGCGCAATTCCGATAAGTAGCAGGGCACTTCTCACGGGGTCACCGCCGGACCCCGTTCGGCAGGGGTAGGATTCAGTGACCCTCCGGCAACGACGAACACAGAAATGCTGTAGGAAAAATGCTGAGGGGGGTGCCCTAGTGGGAAAATTTCCATTTAAACTAATGCCTTCCTAGCGGTGGCACGGAATTCCTAGCAGATTGCTCATGGCAAGCGTCCGCAGCCGAAAGACACGGCATCGCGAACCCGTCGCACGTCAGAAGAGCTCCATTTAAACCAATGCTCTGCAACCAGCCGCGGTCTTCGGAAGCGCGCTCTGTCTACGTGTGAAGGGTTCTTTGGAGTGCATTTACACGGAGTCACTCGGTGTCCTATTCTTGCCCATACTAACATCCACTTACAAGCACCACACTACTCGTGACGGGAGACCAGTGGGGAGCTTGGAGGTTACCCCGGCTGGGATGGTGCCCCGCTCAGCGGGAGATGCCCGGACGCTACGCGACGTGTGGGTGTCCGCCTGATGTGACTCTCCAGCCGGGCAGGAACACTGCCACCTTCTGGTCCTAATACGTGGGGCAAATGACCGTGTGTGTGTGTCCGCAGGGGAACTGGTGGAGGAGCTGCTGGCGAACGTCGATTGGCTGCAGTCGCTGGACGCCCGCGTGGTGGACGAGCGGCTGCGCCCGGGGCGCGCCAAGGGCGAGGGCGACGTCTTCGGGGTGGACGGCTCCTTCAAGCGACTCGACTTCGACTAAGCCCATGCCAACGCCCCTCTCAGTCCCTTTCGCGCCATCCAACCCACGCCATTGGTTACTTAGGGGTACGAACGGGCCGAAGATGTCTCGATATACGCCGCGGTCGATCTCCAATGAGCAGATCAAAATTATTTTGTTGAGAATCTAAAAGCCAACTAGTGCGAACTACATTTTGTTTACAAATCTGAGAGTTTGTATGCCTTTAAATCTGTTGTCATTTGTTGACCTACCTTGGGGAGGAGGAAACTGCCTATGTTCTGCAGTCAGCCAATCAAATGCGATACATCGCAGTTCCCACCTCGCTAAAGCAGTAGAAATACAAAACATTTTTTTCCTTGCGCCGCTCTCAAGCTGGACATCAAGAGTCAAGCACGACATCACGAGTTTAATAATATGAAATTATTCAAATTTACAGCCGAGGCCTAGCGTTACGAGTGATTCTAAGTAGCGTTTCACGAGCAATTATGATGACGAATGGCAATCTATGCCCTTGAAGGAGAAGAAATTTTGGGGTAAAAAGAATCTAAAAGATCTTCGGACCGCGTTGCGGTACACGAGAGTGTGCTGTTCTCAGATGTCGTAAACGAGAACATGAAAACTTGCGGCTTGCGATATTTCATTGTTATGTTCGTGTCCACAGCTTCATTCACGGTCACCGCTGCGATGGTTGCATTCCATAATACGGCGGCACGCTTTAGTTCGCATCACAGTTAGTTGAAAGTTCAGTCGCGAATGAAGTCGACGCGACATCGACCGCGTCCGCGGGCATCGAGGCATCTTCGATATGTTCGTACCCTCACTTTTCTTACCTTCTGCTTTCAGCCTAAAACGTTTTCAGTTAGAGAACAAACGATCTCCATTTCAGCTATTAATTCGGTTAAGCCTCTTGCATTACATTTTAGAAACATGTTGCACGATTCTTGTCATGCTTACCTATGTATACACATTGATTTCAAAACAGTTGTGGGGTGGATTCACATGCTCCTTTTTCTTTAGATCACCTCAATAAACGTCAACTTCGAAAGCATTCGCCTTGATATGAGTTGTTACTTATAGATTGTATTCCTTAACAAAATCCTCTCTATTGTAAAAATAACTTCAAAACTGTTATCAAATTTGCGAAAGACATGAGAAATAAAGTATTAAACATTTATTTACCGGTGGTGTTTAAGTTATTGTGTTTTCAATTGATAGAAAATATCCTTTCCATAGAAATACAATGATTTTAAAGTATCGATATTATGATAACAAGATTTCTGTATATAACATTTTAAGTAAAGTTCATCTTTAAAATAATACTTATTTCGTCTTAGTCCTACGATTTTAACTCCAAATGAATACAATGGAGCGTAAAGGTGTTGTGACCCAGGTGCTGTCATTTCTGATATTATTGCTTTCACTTTCTATGTACTTGTTTTGAAACTATATCGTCTTTTTGATACTAACAAAGATTTTAAGGCGCGAAAAACATTGCAAGATGAAAAATGATGGTAGTAAGACCAGTTAATCTAATGAATCCAGTAAGTCCTTGTTCACCAGATGACAGTGTAGTGCACGCAGTCGTATCATGTTTTACATCAGGCAAGAAACTAGAGGCCTACGAAGATAAATTTAACTTTTCTGGTGACCTCACTTATATTAATGAAATAATAAACATTAAATTTTTTTAGATGTGTTAATAAATAATGTTTCGGGCATGAATTGGGTAGAAGCCAAGGTATTATTTTCTGGGAATAAACATACGCATTGGTTTAGTTTCTGCTATTGTAACCCATGTAAATCCATATTTTAACGTATATATATATATATATATATATATATATATATATATATAACTTTTTTCATTAAAATAGCTGTCAAATTTTGCAATTTTTGGTGTCTAATTGTCACACTCTTTCAAAAATGCATATTTTCAAAAATAATACAGATTTTACAAAAAGGTCTCGTTAAAGTTTTTAACAAAGATAAGATCATTTCAGGAGGAAATTTGAAGAAGATAGCAATAATAGATTTTAAGAAAATGTTACTTAAAGAAACCACAATTTAACATGGGAAAGATATCCCTCCATCAGATGTCCTTAACACTATTTTATCTTATTGAAATATGAAAAATAAGACAATAATTTATACTAGCTGAAATAAATTTTGATATTTTCTTAGAACCAAATTCAAACGCAAAACAAATTGAAAAAAAATAAGACGAATATTATTTACTGTCTTAGAACCCTGGAACAAGCTCGAAATATATCTCAAAAGTTTCTCTCAAAACACAAATCATTGTGATTTTTTTTAGATTTTTCATCGGCTAGTATGTAGTTAAAAAAATTTAAAAAACTTGTTTACCATTTTCGCGCCACTAAATAATATTGGCTATAAAATATACTCGAACTTTGAAAATGACTGCAACAGTTCTGTGCATTTACTTAAGTGTTTACTATTCATCTTTATACATTGTTGAAGCACCCAGTAATATTTTGACTTTAGAATGTAATTACAAATTACGTTTGTAAAGCGTAATAATAATTTGTGTATAATACGCTACAGAAATGTAGTTTTGGATGTTTATAAGAAAATATCTGTACAAAACCCTGCGAGTGTGCAATTGGTGGATAGACTATTACACCCCACTTCCTCATCAAACAGATTTCAGAAGAAAAAATAGAACTTTGCAGATTATAACATATAAAAGAGGTTATTGCAACACAGTAGTGCATAACTTGAAAGCAATGCGTCGTAAGACTTTTAAACTACGTTTGCGTCTCTCGTAGGGACATGATGTTTTCGGGGTCAGGTAAATTCTGACAGACGACGTTGTCTTAGGGAAGGGTAGATGACAGACGGGGAAATGATGAAGGGCAGTTCGGGTGCAGGTGAAGGACAGATGGGGGACAGTAGGGAAATGAAGGGGGACAGGTTGAACTTGGATTGTGTGCTTAGACAGTATTCTACAAAATAAGTCGTTTTCAACGTTCTTTTACAATTCTGCAGATTTAGTTATTTTGGGTACCACTAATTCATAGCATAGTAGGTCAGAAAAGTGTAGATGCCGAAATCAATGTAAAATTAAATTCAAGAAAAAACACCGAAATTAACTTTCACGATGAAATTAAAGGAATTATTTTCTGTGCATTTTAATCTCAACGATAGGAATGGTTTCTCTCGCACAGTACCGGAACTATAATGCTATAAAAGACATTTCGGGGGATGGGCGTTCACAGTCGAGTGCTACTTTAAATCAATTTTCATTTTTCATACAATTATCTATAAAGTGCACAGTTTGTAGATGTTTGTGTGCCGAATTCTATACACATATTTATATGTAACCAAGAATAAATACTCAGTGAAGGAAAAATACAACTTTTTCTCTTGTCTGAAACGGCTAGAGGTGTGAGAGCTTAAGCTTCAGAAGCCGGAGTCAGTAATTACTTGGTAGCCCAGGACACCTGCATCCTAGGGGGTTGCGACATCAGTCAGACCGATTGGGAAATACAACTTTTGGTGAAAATTCTGCTTACGATTTAGCCTAGGTATTCTGCTACGACAGCGTTGTTCACCGATGAACAGACGTTTTGCGGTCAACGATTTTTCGGTATCAAGGATCCCCTAAACGTGGATTCTGACTTCATACCGTGTTGAAAGAAGTATTTTACTTCATATTCACTTTTCCGTTACCAGGGCTCGGCAATAAAAGTTTTTTTTTTCTGCGTCATTATAATACATTCTCACTACTGCGTGAGCTATTGGCGAGAAAGTAAAAATGTGTAGAATTTTTCTGTGTCATCACAAATTCTGAACCCTGATAATCGAAAATAACAATTTAATGTTTTTCAGCATTTATTCTCGAAGACTGATAATCGATTGAGTTGACTCAGGGCAACTGGCGTAATTGTAACGTAATATAGCTAAGGCCTCCCATATGAAGGCAAGGGATCTCAGAAATACTCATCATCAGAACCAATAAACCACATTCATCATCAAAACCACCTTATTTACTTCAGTGTAGACATTGCAAATTCAAAGCCTTGTCACATTAAGAATTATTCTAATTGCAGAACATCAACAGTTTCATCAATTTTATTCACATTATATATCAATAGCATTCACGAATCTAAGCACACAATTACTATTTTATTTATTTCTATACAGTAATATAGTAGAAATAAGTCATATCAAGATAAACAAGAGATGTTAAAACGGGATTTAATGAATTACTCACAGATACAAAATAAGTCAATATTTCTTGTCGATATATCACTAGTATTGTGTGATATTACTTGTTAAACGAATTGTCTTTCCAAGCTTTCATGAGTGGAATTTCATTGCCATTTTTTGTGTTCTACGGTAAAAAACTGTTTTGTTCGAGTAAAAGTGAAAATATTAGTGCAATATTTTTAACATTCTTTTTAATCTCGATTTATGATAATTATCTGTAAGATTATAGAATATTATATTATTTTGGTCTTTATGCCGCACGTCCAGACCCCCTATTTCCACTTTTTACAATTGCTTGTTTGCATTCCTTGTTCGCGATCGAGAATTTTGCCTAAATTATGCATAACATTGACAGGATAAATTATGATGCTGTAATTTAGTGGACTTTAAAGCACTGTAGAATGAATGATATATCTACATATACCGGGAATCGAACCCGCCGCTTCACTAGCTTTAGAACAACACTTTGACACTGAGCCACTATTCTTATAGCGACAGATTTTATATTAACGAAACTTGAAAGCAACATTACATTTATAAAAGTTAATGTCAATTCAGTTTCATGGGCAGGAATCACGGAAGTAGATGAACTACTATTTAGCTATTAATGTACATTAAAGTATTTTATATGCTCTCTACATACTACTACGCTCTGACACACCAATACTAACTATTCCACGCATGAAATTAAGACCAATAATGATTAAGAATGCTCACGTTATTAACAAATCAGAGTAGTGATTCACAAAAAAATATGTTTTCTTTATCGGTTTTAATTAGTACCTCCTCCATAGTGCTCAATCATTAGCTGCAATTCGCCTAATTTAGAAGGCAGTATGTATCGATCCTTATGTCGATATGCAATAAAGTGCGCTTTTCATCATTTTGCATCATTCAGTTAACTAAAGGAAATGGCGAAAAGATTTGTTCATGAGTCACAAAAAGAAATATACGATATTATTCGACGAGCTACTCGAGAAGACACCGATAAAAGTAGAAAATACGGAAATACGTTTGGAAACAATTCGAAAATTTTTGCTAGGACCGAAGCTATGTATGGACAGCCAAGTCATGAACTCGAGCAGCGGAAGCTTACGTGTACTTTCAATTTTGATAGTTGTGTTTAATAAGAGATATAACGGTAATAATGAAATCAAATACACCTATATATTTCATGTTTTCATTACGTCCTTTTTTATATACGTATGGATTTTAACATTGCCTTGATTTTAACATTTCAGACAGCTTTGCTTAATAAAACCAAGAATCGAAGCTGATGCACATAAAAATTGAAATCATTGAAAATACGTAAACACACCAGATTATCTTACATAATTGGTACTAATGAACCAGTTTCTTAAATTCAAATTTCATATTATTCGTGGAATGTATTAAATTCCACTTCTGCTTTGTAAATTCTCAGATAAATACCAGAGTTGCGAATTTTTACAAATTATAATGGTCATTTAATGAAATCTGTTCTCGTCCTCAGTAGAAGTAAAAAATAGTGCAATTAAAGGCAATGCAAGTTTTGCAAGCAAAAACCAACATTGTAGAAATAAGGGCTGAAGTATAGAACAAGGTATACAACACGGAAGTCGTTTAAACTACTCGCCCTCTACGTAGTCGAAGGGGTTGAGGAAGAAGCTCTGACTACTTTACTATTATACTCACGCGTTTTCCTGTACCCCGGAATAGCTAACACTAATTTTTGAAATTATAATGTAAATACTGAGCGCAATTAAGCTTAAAGCAAAGAAAATTTTACGGGGTGTTATTTAGCATATCTTTTTTATGGGGCGCAATGTCGTCCCCGTTTACCTTCGAATATACCCTCCAAATTACTATAATTCATATGATCAATTATTAATTAATTATGAGCGTTACGCATACATGATACTTACCTTTTATCTTCATCGTTGTCTATCAATAAAATACAACTTTTTTTTTCTGAAAAAATATTTCACTTGAAATCAGGCAATTCACTCACATTCACCAGACACCGTGCAAAAAGACAATTGCAACTGCACTTCTGGCTCAGATGACTGATAGTGCCACCTCTTTCACAGAATCGAAACTAGTAAGATATGTTTTTAAGAATGACCACTAGGTATCGTTATTACTTTTCTCGTGTTAGGTGCTAAATTACCCTCAGGTTATACTCCTCGCTTCTGTTGGTTCAAAGTAACCTCGAATTACGTTAATCCAAAAAGTATTTGTGGGAGAGGTATTTTCAGTTCGGTCTGTCTGCCCCTTTTTCTGCCTCATTACGTAACTTTCTCTCTAACATTGTGAAAAATACTCCAAAAACAGAAACACTAAGAAAATTGAACTTCACTACAAAAATAATGTTCTGTGCAACCCACAGGAAGTAGCAAAACAATTCAAAAGACATTTCGCAGAAAATGGAGATTAATTAATTCGCTGCAACTCTAAATAATATAAATATGCAGTTAAATATCAGCACATCACCAAATGCAAACACAATGTATATCTCTGAAACACCACCTGCAGAAATACAAAAAGTCGTAAATGACAGGTATTTTCACAGAAATTTTCAAAAAAACAAAAGTTAAGCCACTCTTCCAAAAAGGCAACACTCATGATCTCATGAATTGCAGACCAATATCCTTACTATCTGGATTTTCAAAAATTCTAGAGAATCTATTTAATGGTAGACTCAATTTTTTTTCAATACAAATAAGGTATTGACAGAGGCCCGATTCCGAAATGGTAGATATAGACACAGCTATCTTCACCCTTCTAAATGACATACTTGTTGGTCTAGATCAAAAAGAAATCCCCATCGGTTTGCTTCTAGATTTATCAAAAGTATTCGATATTACTGACCATCACCTACTGTATTTAAACTTTCAAAATTAGAGGCATTGCACATCTATGGGTTAAATCATACCTTTCAAGTCATTTTAGAGATAAAAAGATTTCAACCAATTCCTAGGCTCTATACTTTTTTTCTTATACATCAATGACAAAACCCTGACTCCACAAAAGAGAAAAATGGCCCTATTTGCAGATGACACAAATATTATTTTTAATGCTAATACTCAACAAACTCTACAAAAAGAAGCACAAACAGTTCTAGTGGCACTAGTAAAATGGGAAAATAAACTCATCATTAACACCAGTAAAACTGTCTTCCTAAACTTTCGGAATCCACTCTCCAAAGAAAAGCCTCCAGCACAATTGATGATAAAAAGCATGCCTGTAAAAAAAGCCCAAAAAAACTACTTTCCTTGGATTGACTATTCAAGATTATCTAGAATGGAACTCCTACATCACAGATCTAAACAACTAGCTTACCAAGTAATATGCCATCTACAACTTTAAGACAAATTCTAACATAGATTTGCTATGAACAGTGTATATTGCAAATGTTAACTCGTGCCTACAATACGGAATCATATTCTGGGGAAATTCCCCAGAAAGTATTCACACTTTCATCATCCAAAAATGAATACTGAGAACAATGATAAAAAATGATTCCATCAAACCACTATTCAAAAGATCAAAAATCCTACTGCTCCAATGCATGTACAAATTTGAAATATTAATCTTCACAAAGAAGTATTCTACTCTAAGCACAGAAGTTCATAAATATGATACTAGACAAAAAGGAAATCTGCATGACTCACACAGTGAAACTTCACTCTTTCAAAACAGTACCCTTATAGAAGTCATTATGCCATATAACAAACTCCATGGTGAATTTTAAAGCCAATACACACATTCAAAAATAAACTGAAAGCTTTCCTATTAAACCATACATTCTAGAGTGCAAAAGAATATATACATCATGAACATGTATTTACATGAACATATACTAGTACTAATAATTTTTTTTCCTTGCTTCTCTTCTTTCTTTCTTTCTCTTTCTTTCTTTCCTTCTAATATAAGATATAATATGCTAATAAATAAATAACAATATTTTTTTTTAAAAGCGCGAGAATAGAGGCATTTGAAAAGCTAGACAATTTCGTTCCCGAGTTGTAGAAAACTTATTTGCATCAGTCAATGAATGCAGACTTTATTTTCGTCATTATATTCGTCAAGATAAAACAAGAAGCCATTTCAGCATTTGCTCAACGCACTAGGGAAACGGCAAAAACTTGTTCGAGATGGGAGTCATTGACCCAGAAGCTGAAGTATTTGTTACAAGCATATTAAATCTTTTTAAAAATTACATAATACAAATGTAAACTAATTCGTTATATACCATTGTTTTGATAAAATAAACATTATTTTTCTTTTTGATGATCAGTATAGTCTCTAATTGTATAGAAATAGTTATGCAGCAGAAAAGTTTTTATTTTTAATTTAAATTTGTGTACCGACTTCCATTGTTTAATGCCATCGATGTTTTAGGAACTATGCTATACAATATAAAGCGATGCCACGAATTCCATAAGAAGGTAATTTTGATGGCAAGATGTTATGGTCAATAACGTCAAAGCTTTCGAAGATCTACAAATATTCCATTGGGTGCTTCATTTTGGTCTAATGATGAAGCAAGATCATTAAAAAAAGGAAAAAATCGCAGTTTCCATAGATTTTGATTTTCTAAAACCGTGTTGTGAGTCTGAAAACGCTTCGTTTTTTCTGAGAAAAGTTTCCATTCGCGTGTAGAAAAACCTCTCTAATATTTTTGAAAAAACTGACAAAAGAGAAATTGGCCGGCAATTTGGAATTTCATTCTTGTTTCTTTTTTTATAAAGTGTCTTAATTTTAACTTTTATCAAAGTATCTGGAAATATTCCTGTGCATAAAGAAGCATTGAAAATGTGCGTTAACGGGTGTATAAAGGCAGGTACACAAGTTTTCAATAAAAAAAATCGGGGAATTCATCGAAACCAGATGAATATAATTTTTTTTAGTTTACTGACTATTCTCAGAGTTTCGTTAGAAGAAGTTTCGGAAATAAACATCGTATCGAAAATTTTTTGGGGAAGGAAATGATGTTGAATTTTGTGGTTTTAGTCGCTTCGTGAGTTTAGCCGCAATTCTAGAAAAGTGTTCGTTGAAAAGATTAGCCACTTTTTTCGGATTACTTGTTTCTCTTTCATTATCCTTTAAAACAACATTCCCTACTAAGTATCGTGATGATGCGGTCGTATTTTTTACGATATTCCACATTGCTTAAGTTTTCTTTCATTCAAAATATCCTGATTATTTTTCGTTGTGTGTGTCACACTTGTGACATTTACTTAAATGGAAGCAATGGCACACCAAGTTTGTGGGAAAAACAGGATGTTTAGGGGAGTGACAGCGGACAGCTGCTCCGATCAGTCGCCTTCTCCGACAGGGAGAGGTCTCGTGGTGCTGTTCTACTAAACTCCCCCGTGTCACACGAGGTTATTTATTTATTATTATTATTATTATTATTATTATTATTATTATTATTATTATTATTATTATTATTATTGTTGTTGTTGTTGTTGTTGTTGTTATTGAAACGCACTTTTAGATAGTAAAAAGCTGTATATCTGTTTCGGTTCCTCTCAAAATGTTTATTTTTTAATCAAAAATCCCGCAGAAAAGCGCGCCGTTCAGACAAACGACAATTGGAATGGCGCGTGCATTCATCACCAACTTCCAAAAACAAGCACAGAAATACTAGAACAGATTTTCTTTTAAGGAGCCATAAAAAAATACATTTTTAGCGTGTCAGTGCTTGACACTACGAAATAAATTTCTTAAAAACCAATCAGTTATCTTGTCGTCGAGGTCTGCAAACATTTTCAATGCACTTCGTTAATGAACTGTTAATCTTCAATATTTGCTGCACTGCAAGAATACGTTCGGGAGACTAAGTATTTCAGCACGGAAGCATTTAATTCACATGGCGCACTAATATTTTAGGTTAGAGTTGGAATTATTGGGTAGTTTCGTCTGTGTAGATTTAAAGACGTGAAACTGATTGCGGTTAATTTACTGTTATATAAGCGTATATAAGCGAGGTTGAGATCTGTCCTGTTATATTGGAACAAGTTTTATATGTAGATGTACACGTTTGGTCATGTACCAATCCCACAAAGATACGCATATAATAAGGGCTGTTTCCAACAGACATTAATCCTATAAACCGATAAACCATTCCTTTCAACATCTTTCCTGTAATTAAACATCTGATCTGCCATGGAAGGAACCAGGTAGAGTTATATGACTTGCTTATGTTAAGTTTTCTGACTTGGGGCTCATTCAACACATTTCCAATTTAAGATGGCAATTTTAAATTGTCCAGTGTTGGGGTTGTTGACGCCTCAAGATATTGCATTTCTCTAAATTATTGATAATACATTTATGTAAAATGTTTTTGTGGTGTTTAAGGGTATGTTTGCATAAAAATTACTAATATGTTTTTATGTGTTACAAGTGCATCTACTGTTGCTTCTTTACCCCAAAAGAAGTACTACAGACAACGTGCTCATTCTAATCCTATTGCTGATCACTGTTTTGACTAGTAAGTAATATTGTTTTGTATTTACTTTGTGCAAAGTACTTGTAAATAACATTTTGAAATTGTTTCTTTCAGTCCTAGAAACCCTCAAGAAATGAAGTGGAATTCTCTTTATCCCAAATTCTTTAATGAAGAGACCTCTTGTAGGAAAGTAGAATTTGCTGATGTTGGATGTGGTTATGGAGGTCTATTAGGCAAGTATGATTAAAAGTGCCTGCAATACTCTCTTCCTCTGGATTTTCATGAATTTAAAAATAAAGATATTTAAATCACATAAAACAAGTGTGTGAATCATAATTCACCCATGTAATTCTTATAACCCCCTCTTTATTAAGATCTACCATTGTATTCGTGATTTACAAATTTGTGTTTTTGTATCAAAACTGACATACTCAATGGTAGGATCATATTTTTAGCAAAGATATCTAGAACTGTAACATTTTATGTAGTACTCATATTCATCGTGTGCAGTGCTGCATTGTAGGGCAATATTGCACACCTGATTTTTTTCCTTCTACATGTAAACTATTGAACCATCTATTACTAAGTCAGATAATACCTTTGGCTTTTGATAGCTTCACTATCTGTATATGTTTTCTTGAGCTCAGTAGGGAATGTTCTCGTGGCAGTCAATTCTCGCACAAAGGTCATGAGGGATGTGCCAAAATCTGCATTTGATTTGCCTTTCCAAACAGTTTATTACACTGCTTCAAAAATTTTCTCAACAATTCTTGCCAATAATAATGCTCATTGGTATTTGTATTCATTATTCAACTGTATAAAAATATAACTTACAGTAGAGATCCCAGTACTTGAAAATCAGTGCACAGATTGCATTTTTTCCCTTAGTATGTCACAAATAGTTTTTAACATTAAATGTTTTTATACATTAAATGAAAATTAATTGGCTAAAAATAATAATTATTGTACATTTTATCAACTCATGGGTAAGGTTTATTAAAACTGTTATTGTTATTACTATTATGTACTTTTATTATTATTATTATTATTATTATTATTATTATTATTATTATTATTATTATTAAAGACAAAATGGAATGATTATTAACATCATGCTTTTTAATTGATGAGTGTGCTGTATTCTGAAGTGGAGTGGAGTGGAACATTGAATGTGTCAGAGATGAAGGGTCATGTAGTGCTGTGGAGCTGGAAAATTGTGTGTTTAATATTTTAAAATAACAATATAGGGTAGCATGAACATTTATAATTAATGCTGCAATTATTATTATTAATAAATAATTTCAAATTTATATAGTAAATATATGTAATTGTAATGATGTAAAGTATAGTGTTCTGCCCCAGGTTGCACAAAACCTATTAGAAGAAATTGTAAATATGTGTATCTATCTACAAAATATTTTTGAAAAAAAAAATTCTGAAAACTGCTTGCAGTGACGCTTTCACCTATGTTCCCGGAAACTCTTATTCTCGGCATGGAAATCAGAGTGAAAGTTTCAGATTATGTAATGGATCGTATTGCGGCTCTCAGAATTCAACATCCAGAACAGTATCAAAACATAGCGTGTATCAGAACAAATGCTATGAAATATCTTCCAAATTTCTTCTGTAAAGGCCAAGTAATAATTTACTGTTAATTTTCAACATTTGACGTTGATACTTTTGTATTTATGAAATCATTATTTAGAAATTGTCATGTTTCAGTTAAAGAAAATGTTTTTTCTGTTCCCTGACCCTCACTTCAAAAAAGCCAAACACAAATGGAGAATCATCAATAATACTTTACTTGCGGAATATGCATACGTATTAGCTGAGCAGGTGAGTTTTAATAGATTTCCTTTGCAAAGATTTTACTTGAAAATATGAGCAAAATGCATAAAATGTCTCTAGGGAATTGTGTATACTATTACAGATGTGAAAGATCTTCACGATTGGATGGTTAAACATTTTTCTGAACATCCTCTGTTCTCACAAATTGAAGAAGAGAAATTGGTAAATATGAGGGATAACATCTTTCCTTTATTATTTCAAATAGATATTATTGACTGATATGTAAAATCTATTTTATTTTTTAGAAAGATGATCCCATAATAGACAAACTTTATAATAGTTCTGAAGAAGGACAAAAAGTTACCAGGAATAATGGAAAAAAATTCCTTGCTGTCTTTGAAAGAATTGCTGATTCATTTTCAAGGTAGCAGTCGGTATGTGAAACAGAATAAAAGTAATATTTATGACCATTGTTAAACAGTGTTGTTCAATTTCTTTATTCTTTCATATTCCTTTATAAGTTATCAACCATTTGATTCCTATTTACTTAAATGCTAGAGGCTAGAGATGACAAAGGTTATTAAAATTTTACTGTGCATATAGCAAGGTAGTTATTTTCAATTAAGACTGTAATTTGTGAGGTAATGATTCTCATAAAATTGAATTATTCTCTTGCAAAATATAATGTAACATTCCTCCTTCAGAATATTTTGATTGAGTAAAAACAACTTGTGTCCTCACACTCTAATCATTTTAGTTTAATTTTATGACGAGTCAACGATATAGCAAATTTTCCATTTTTAAATGGGATTTAAAATAATACAAAACTTACAGAAGTGTAAGTTCATTTACCAAGGCCTTTATTATGTATAATGATGACACATGTATACTAACTGAAATTTGTCTTATGAAGTCATCTACAAATTTAAGGATATAAAGAGGTATTAACAATACATAACCCCAAAAAATTGAAAAATCATCCATTAGCAGGGTGGAGACAAATCTGGGTATTTGTTATTTCCTGGCAAAGTCAGGAGCAAATCAGAAATTTTTATATATTTTCAAAGTACATAATTATTGTAAATTTTCATAATTGGAGCAGTCATTGGGAAAGGGGTTACATGTGACAATGCTGTTCTGAGAAATCACTTTCGAAGTTTTCATTGAATTTAATGTTCGATTGACCTTATTGTCATTTAATCTTCTATAATTAATTTTGCACATTTTTGTGATGCGGAGTAATGTATATATACCTTATGAATTTTGAATCATTGTCCTATTGGAATTCATTATCCTCTTCCTTGAATTGTCATTATTAATTCTGTTTCTATTCTATTCTAAATATGTAGTTGAATTATCACATTGTGTTGCCCACCTAAGTTGGTCGTTAGAACTTGTATTATTAAGTTAAAGGATCATTTAAACAGCTGATCCTCCACTAGGGTTGGTGACTACTGTATTCATCAGTCCAGAAAACAACTAGCCAACTTCAACATTATTGAAGTATCTTGGAACATTTTCTAAGATTTTAAAAAATGTCTGAAAGTTTCTCCTGAAAAAGAACTACTTGTGTTCACTCTGAGATATGAAGAAAAATGAAAGAGAAATAGTATATATGAATTAATCAAGGAACAGAAGAGTTGTCTTCAATTATTTGATTGACTATGACAATAATAATCAAATGTTTCCTAAATATTAAGGACAAACTTGTTAATATTCTTCGTCATCAGAGTAAATGAAAGAATTAGAGAGATTTTAATATTGACTTTCTTCAGAAAACCAATATGCAAAAGGATTTTCTGATTCTGATAAACTCATATGGCCTTATTATAACAGTAAATGTACCTACTAGAATAAAACCAATTTCAAAAATAGCCATAGATCAAATAATTGTTGACCAATTTAAATGCATATAGTAACTCTTGTTTTTGAAACGGGCCTTAGTGATACATCGATTCCCTACAACACACATCCAATGAAAATGAAACGTTCCATACCAGTAGAAACTTCAGCATTAAAAATTATGTGTATGTTCATACATAATGTGTTGAAAGAAGCATGGTCTGAAGTTGTGAACAAGACACAAGTAGATATCTTTACAATTATTTTCCAAAATATTAGTCTGACACTTAAATCATTTCTACTTCAGATAAAGAAAGTAAATTTGTGTAGTAAATCCAAAAACTGGATAATAAAAGGACTAAACATTTCTTGCAAGAGAACTCAAAATCTAGCATTCTAACATTATCACAAAACAGTTCCTAAAAAGTATTGCACTCTCTCAACACTATAAAAGATACAGAGCAATTCTCAAATAAGTGATAAGCCTTTGCAAAGAAACTTGCAACTGCTCAATGCATTGCTGATTCAAACAATGAAGGCAATGTGGAATGCTATTTAGCAAACAACAGCTGCACTGAAAACAAGGGATAAAAAACTTGGTGATAATAACAGACAAGCAGATCTTCCAAGAAAATTATCAATAAATAAACAATTTCTACAAAAAATGACAAAATCTTCATCAATCATTTTTCAAATATTTCAGCAAAGCTGAACAAAAGTATCTTCTAGTGTGTTCATATGTAAAACTAGATGAGATTCTTCAAGTAATAAACTATCAAACAAATCTTCAACAGGAATAGAGATAGCATTCAAGGTTTTATTCTTTATGAAATTGCTCTCATACTGAAAGTACTTACTTATATGAAAGCCTAGCTTTCTGTACCTGGAATCAGTATCTACTTGACTGTTCAAAAGTTGCGTCCAATGTTGAGCCCTGCAGAAACCCGAATATCATTCACTGATATGGTGCTCTATTTTGCCATTGTAAAAAGATATTTATACAACCCATTTACGATTTATGAGGTACAATTTGACCACAAGAGCAAGCTAAACCTTAAAAGAATAATTTATGAAAAGAAGAATGCCTAGGCACAATGCCATTTCAGGCTGAGGAAGGTCGTAGAATGACCACTCACACGTTGGGAGTCTTTGCCTAGGACACAGCATCTCCTGGATAGCCAAGTAGATACTTACTTATACATACAACTTTCACAATCACAAGGTATTTCTCCAGATATTTTCAACAGCAATAGTAAAACCATTGTACAAAAAAGGGGATACACATGAAGTTATGAATTATTAATTAATATCATTGGTCTTTGTCTTCTCAAAAATTCTGGAAAAGTATATGAATGGTTAATAAATTTCTTGATAACTGACTCACAACATGGAGTCAAACAAAATAAGTGACAGCAATCTTCACATTATTAAATAAAATACTAACAGCTCAAGATAACAGAAATCCAAATGGGACTATTTTTTTATCTTTTAAAAGCTTTTGATATGACTGGTAATGAAATTATTCTTTTAGGGTTTAGCTTGCTCTTGTGGTCAAGTTGTACCTCATAAATCGTAAATGGGTTATAGAAATATCTTTTTGCAATGGCAAAATAGAGCACCATATCAGTGAATGAAATTCGGGTTTCTGCAGGGCTCAACACTGGATCCATTGTTACTCCTAGAACACATTAATTATGTGCCACAAGCTAAAGGTAATCCTAGAACAGTTGTTTTTGTAGACAATACTAAGGTTATATTTAAATCCAAAACATGGGGAGGTTTAATAGATGCTGCCAAGACAGCAACTTTGCCATTTATTTTCTTGTAACACGCTAATTGTAAATACAAGCAAAACAATATCTTTTCACAATCCATATAATAAGCCATACATCTACAACAATCTAAAGCTTTGTGGTAAAAATATCAGTCCAACTCAAAATTTCTTGAGATATTCATACAAAACAATTCAAAATGAAACATTACATAGATAATGAACCAAAAACACACAAAAAATGTTATGTTTATTCATTTGCGTCAATCAGCTTTGTACAAATAAGTAACAATTTATAAATTAAATTATAAAGCAATAACTAGTTTGCTGTAATAATATTCTAAAAATTCTATACGTAACTATATATACACATTATTCTTTGCAGGTGATTACTCATTCTGAAATATGGAATAATTTTCTAGGGACATGGACCAGAAACACCTAGGACATTCAAAAGTCCAAAGAGAATTGTTAGGGTAATAGCAAAGATTGACACATGAATCATGCAGGCCACTCCAATAATTTCAGACTTCTTTATTACCAAGTCTGTACATACACCAAATAATTATGTTTGTAAAGAGAGAACATTAAAGGAAAAAATATTTATAATGCAATACAAATATACATCAGTGCAGTGCCTGACAATCAAATTGTTTACACATCTATTCTTCAACAACTCTTTGACCAAAAAGGAGCATATTACATAGGTAAACACCTTTATAATAAGCACCGAGATAATGTAAAGAATATTAACACAAACAAAAATTCAATGAAGAGACTAAGAAGTTTTTCCCAAAGATGACTTGGTAGAGCATTGATGAATACCTCCATGACTAAATAGGTCTTTGGTATACTTCCTAAGAAAAGCAAGTAAACCCACAGGCTGCTAAAAACAATTAAATTTAAAGTTTACAATAGTATACTCTTAAGTATATGATAATAAGTATGCACATTTACATTTCTGTAATTTGATACTACCTATACTAATGTAAACTACTTTTGTATATTTATGTATAATGTAATATAATGAAAAATTTAATATATCTAAAGTAAAATATCATGATTAGAATGTGTAAGTATGTAAATAAATTGTAATTGTAAGCATGCACAAAATTACGATTATATGTGCTTTATTGAAATAAGAATATTATGGTTGTAGCGTTGTACTAAACCAAAGCAAAGTGACTATTTTTTAACAAATAAATATTAAAATAATATTATATGTATAATATAATATTTAATATGATGTAATGTTAAAAGTATAATATACGTCTATTTGTAATAAGTACAATCTCACAATTAAATACTAAATATATTTGTGTATATAAAAGTGAGATAGTGTGAATATGTGTACTTAAGTAATCTTCAAGTTGTATCTTTAAAATAATGTAATATCTGTATAAGTATTATTGTAAAATAATATATTGCTATAATGAATTGACTTATCATTACACTGAACCAATTCTCGTTAAAAAAATAAATATTATTATTAATGAAGAAATAATCAAAGTTCAATCAGTATCTGTCAACTTAATATATTTATGTAGAGACAGCTCTTCCATCATCATCAGTCTACAAATATAAATAAAGTACAAAATAAGACAAAGTGGAGGGATTAATATAAATAATAAATACATTTAAAATTATAATAATTAGCAAATAAAATTACAAAATATGAAATGCAAACGAGGCATTAATATAAAAAGTAAATTAAACTTTAATAATTAGAGACCAATAGCAGATGAAATGATGATGTTAAAGCCCACTTTTTAAATAAATATTTATTTATTTGCATCTAAACAGGCAATTGTCCAACATTACAGGTTTATACAATATTTATAATTAGTACTAAAATTAATGAAAATATAAAAATACATTTTAATTGTAATCGCAGAGATAATGTGGCTTTGTGTAATTAACAAATTGACTAACAGAGAAACAATTTATATCGATATCATAGTTATTATAGTTTCTACACATGTGCCATATAGGAGAATAATAACCCAAATTAGTTCTCACATACGGTTTAAAAAATGTATCATTTTGATTTAATCTGGGATTACGCTATGATATTTTCCAATTAATCAAAGATTATAGTTTGCTACTGTCAATATCATAATTTAATCATTTGAATAGAAATGAGATGTCATTATATTTTCTATGGGATTCAAGATAACTATTTTGAAGATGTAGTGGAATTTCGCTGTAATTGTGGTTTAATCTTGGTGATGGTAATTTAAGAAACCAAGCTGTTAAAAAATTTATGTTGTACTGATTCAATTCTCTTTTTGTATACATCATAACAAGACCAGTTTTGTGAAGAGTACGTAAGTATTCGTCGCACTAATGTTAAATACAAAGTTCTAATTGTAGAAGGGTTTCTAAAGTCAGTTGCAGTTCTCATAATAAATCCTAACATACGATTAGCTTTATCTACAATATTATCTGTCTATCAAATCTCGATTTTGGATCAACAATATATCCAAGATCTTTTATTTCAATGACAGACTCGAGTATCACTCCATCAATAGAATACTCATGGTCGACTATATTTCTGTGTTTTGTGAATTTCATCACTTTGCACTTATTTGTATTAAAGTTTAATTGATTCAATTTATTCCAATTTATAAGACTATTCAAGCACTCCTGTAGTTGTTTGCAATCAGTAAAGGTATTAATTTTACTATAGATTTTTAAGTCGTCAACAAATAATAAAAGCGTGCAATTTGAAAGAAATAATTTCACATCATTAATAAATAACAAAAATAAAAGGGGACCTATGTGAGAACCTTGGGGTTCGCCTGATGGTACAATTATGTCGCGGGATAATGATAATTATTTAAGATTCAATATTCTATCAGACAAATAGTTTTTCAACCATTGCAAAAGACTACCGTGAATGCTCAAATTTGACAATTTTTGTATAAGTAATTCATGGTTTACAGTGTCAAAATCTTTAGCAAAATCCATATATATAACATCTACTTGAGAATTTTTATCAGTTTTATCAATAATGAAGTTTGTAAGATTACTAAATTAAAGGTGGTAGATTTAATACGTCTCAAGCCATATTGTTCCTTTATGAAGAGATTTTTTAATTTTTCAGTTATTTTTTTTTAGTTATAATGGACTCAAGAAGTTTAGGAATAACACTCATTATGGATATAGGTCTGTAATTTCTTACATATCATCAGTTCTGAGAATGATATATTGGAGTTAAATAACTTTTTTTCTAAATTGGAGGAAGGGTACCTTAGTTCAGAGATTTTACAAAAAGTACATCAAGAACCGGTGTTAAGTTGGCATTAGAAGATTTTAATAATCTTGCTGGTATTGAATCTGGCCCAACACCTTTCTTAATGTCCAATTTATTAATTGATTCATATACATCATTTTGGGTTATCTCAATGTTACCAATACCGAAGGCAGAAGCATGACCAACATAAATAACATTAGTAGATTGGTTGTCGTCATTGTAATTACTATATAGGGATTTGAAGTAATCAGCAAAAATATATATTTTTATTTATCTCCTATTACTTACACTATTTTTATTATTTCTCTTTTTAAGTTACTATTACTATTTTATTTATCTACTATTCTACTACTTCCATTATTTCTTCATGTGATGTTGTCAACAATATCGCAACAATTTCCACTATTATTATTATTATTATTATTATTATTATTATTATTATTAAGTAAGAAATAAATTTTTCTCAGCAATTTATAATTTCATTTTACATCTTTATCATTTTGGAAATAATGTATTCCTATCTTCAGGCAAATTTACTGCAATAAAACCATATTTCAATATTGACCATATTAGGCAACTCGAAGCCAAACTTACAGTACATACAGTAAGCCCTCTTTAACTCGAATTTCAAGGAACCTAAATACTCCCAGTTTGTGTTACAAAAATTTGTGTTATCTGATTATTATAATTGACTGACACTAATTCCTTGCCGAGATCCAAGTTTTGTTCGTGTTAAGTAAGTTTATGTTAACGAAGGTGTACTGTATTACAACAAAATGAGTTGAGCTTCTTTCTCCCTGGTTGCATTGCTGGTAGATATATTTATTACAAGTATTCCATGAATGAAAATAGTAAATAATTGAAAATATTACTTTCTAACAATTATATTCTTAACTCTGTAAGAATATTGCCCGATATCAACATATAGAATGTCTATTCCATGACTAGGCAATAAAGTAAGATCAGTAAAGCTCTAGTAACAAAAACACATGGTGAAATTGGAATGCGAGAGAAATTCTTAACTATCGTTGAATAATTTTTCATGATTGGAATAGTCATAAAACATTACTTTCGCATATTACATAACTAACACATCGATGCAAGAAAATTCAGATGATTGTGCATTTTTTGACCATGTTTATTTATATCTACAAGAATTGTAAAAATTTTTAATTTTTGCAGGTAAATTTCAATTGTTTTCTTTACAAGTGTTTCATGCGATATTGTCTGAAAATAAAACTGACTGTTTATTAAAGATCTTAAAAGACAGTATTTTATCTCAGAAACTTATTAGACTTTATTTTAAATAGACTGTTGCATAAACTGGAGTGATGGACTTACTATGAAAAAATGTAAAATTTTACGTATGTGGCCAAGCAGTGAAAAATTAACTGTCGAAAAATTCAAATACTTAGCAAGTATGCCCTTGAATTTCTTCATTAGAATTCAATACATAGAATAATAATAATAAAAAAAAAAAAGAATTAGAATTGACATAGAATACTATTTTGGTGCTCTTGAGTGCAAAGCCCTAAAATACATATTGCTGCTATCAACATTTGTGATCTTAAAGATTAAAATAATAACAACACATTTTCACACCGAGTATTCTCATATTATTATCTTTTCTATTATATTTTGATTCTTTGTTTACCTTCAGATTGTCTTATCTTGTTCAATCTTCGTCAAGGAAAGAACATTGTCAGCCATTTTTAATAGTGCAAATTATATTCCTCCAAAAATATTTCAAAAATTATGTCACGTATAATTTTTGCCATTATGTTTCGAGGAATCACATGATTTTGGAAAGCAACTAATTTTCTTTCTTCCTTTTCATCCATTATAAACTGACCATAAAACAGACTCTCCTCAGATTTAATATTCTTCACAGCATTTTGAAAGCGTGTATTGGACATTGTGTCCCTGAAAAGTAAGAGAAGTTTTCAAAAGAATTAAGAGGTAGGATTTTTTATGTAGATGAAAACAAAACTTTGTGTTCTGTATCTTAGTGAAATAAAAAGTATTATTTTTTCAAAATAATCTGTTTCATATTATTTATAGAGAAAAGAGACATTGAAATTTAATTTTTAGCCTCAAGGCAAATTTCAAGAGGTATTTAGGAAATATCAATATATTACCTTGCTGAATAGGTAATCAAATAGTAACCTAATAAATATGCATGCTAATAATAAACATATATGCTAACAAAATATTATGAACCATAGTTAATGCAAAACCGTAGGTATTCTCTGCTTTAACCAACATATTAAACAGTGCAGAAGTGCCGTAGTGTTGTTTTTAATTCCATTGTACTGATGTTCGTCAGTTATTTTATGGAGCTATAATTTTCAGAATGGCAGCATACTTCTGCTCTTTCATCTTGAAAGAAATTCATAGTGTTAAATGTGCCATGTTCATATAGGTGCCAATTTATTGGTCTACTTCCTTGAAAGGGCTTTCTAATAAGACTACTTTGAGAAGAAAATTCCTCTTCCATTTTTTCCAAAAATGAAACCCTCTGGATATACAGGCACAATTATCTTACAGATCAATTATAATGATAATATTTATTTCTATATATTTTCAGCATCGTAATCTTTGAACCAATGAGTTTTTTTTTTATTTCCAAATAGTTTATTTATTGCCAAATAATAAGTAAAATAGTGTTGTAATTTTATATTTCAATCATGTTTCCCAAACTACTTGTACAGTACAGTATCATCAGGTACTGTAAACACGACAAAATATTATTTTACAATAACAATAAATTAATAATTATAAAATGACAAAAACATATGTAAATACAAAAAACAATTTTGAAGAAAGATCCATCTTATCATGGTTTTTTAAAAAAAAACCTTTTTATTTTATTCAAAATGTGATCATATGTATTTGTAAAAACATTACATTCTTGGTTTATATTGTATTGTAAATTTTTGTAAATAAGATTTCTGAAATTATTCTCACATGAAATTTTTGCTCTTTATCTAAAATAGCTGGCTTTAATACTAGAAAACAAACAATATAATATTTATTGAATCGCATATACAACTTCAATCATGTCTGATGAGTCAGATATGATTTATGTCTTCCTGAGCTCCAGATTTCCTGCTTTCTCTTACTACACACTATTATGAGTAAAGGTAAAATGCAGCATAAAAATACACGAAAATAAAAAGTTCACCTCTATGTGAAAGAACAGCAAGTGACATTCAATTTTGATTTTGAATACATCACTAACAAATAATTAACCCTCCACTCCTATCTTGTCTAGCAAAAGGAAGCTCAAGAAGACTTGGGAAGTGAAGTTACATTTATTTTTTTAGTTCAATGGCAATCATCACCCATTCTTTGTATGCACCTTGCACTAAAATGTTGAATCTGAACACGTACGTTCACAGTTTCGAAAAATATTCATTGCATTTGTTACTACGCGACTTAAAAGTGTTCAACAATTTGCAGTTCAAACAGCATCTGAATTGTGCATAGCCTGCGAATCATCCCGTGGGCCGAACTGCAGTGCTGTAACCAGCTGTAACAGTTCAAGTTCAGCGCGCAACGGAAGGACGAATCACCTCAGAACATCTGCGCTGCGCCAACTTTTGCATTTCACATGGCCACAATGTTCATGAAATAGCATGCTAATTGCACAAGAACTCTGTACTATTCCACATGTACGAAAATATAATTCGCAGTGGCATGTGCCTTCGTTGGTCCATGGCTTTCCAAGTTTGCGATTCTCAGTTACTTTTAGAATTAGGTTCTGGAATTTGATACTATCTAAATTTTAGCGAATTTATGAATGTTTATGTTAGTAAAGACAAATTTCAGAATATAAATATAAATGTACATTACGAATACAGAGGAGCCTTGGGGCAGCGAAGCAAGCAACGTACTAAACTGTTAATCTGTGTTGGCAACAAATGAAATAAAAATGCAAGTAACGATTACGAAAACTGTTATTTTCTTATTGCAAAGGCTCCGTGACTTATGTACTAAATTACAAATTTTGTTACAACGCAGCACTTATTGTATTAGTAGACCGCGACTAGATCATTTACGCAACAGGAGTCGTATTAGGCTTTATAATTGATAGAAGCTTTTTTAAAAAAAATCACGTCACTTTATACACACACACACATATTAACATATAGATAGATAAATTTTTGTCCTCTAGTTAGAATTATTCATACCGTTTTTGCCTCAATTAATTACTAATACTTTCTCCAAATTTCAAGAGAAAATGAATGTTTCTTATTGGCAAGATCACTTTTCTTTCACGGAAATTCAGGATTAGGATATCTTAGGAGAGGAGGAAGACATTTCCACGAAGTCAGGAAGTACAGAAATGTAAAGTTTTATCACTAGGTCCTTGTCCTGTATATTCATTGCTCGCTATCTTACAGATTATCGTAACTTAAAATTAATATCATCTTTGCCTTTTGTGCCGAAACAGAAGAAAAAAGTTACAAAAAAGCCGCAGACAAACGAAATTAGGCTCAAATAAGATTAATGTTGAAATAGAATCTTTTAGGCGCTATAAAATTGACTCCCTTTCCCAGGATCAGCCAGTGGGTGGATACCACTTCATGCTTCGAACGATGTCCCATGTGCGCACTATTCTCGCGCACAACTCATCTGCTGTTCTTACTAGAGTAGTGAATACCGCGATTTTCAAGTGTCCCCAGAAGAAAATTTGTAAAAGGATCGAGCGCGAAAGGCCACGCCACAGACCGGTGCCTTCGTGAGAATTTAATTTAATTATTTTTTAATTTAATTTGCAATTTTAAACATCAGGATAGAACTCTATCAAATAAAAAAAGGTAAAGGAATTTAATTTATGAGCAACAGCTAATTTAAAATCTTAATAAACTAAAGGATTTCAAGGTAGTCTTGAAAATACTTTATCTGCTATTAAATTTGTTTTTTGAGCATTTGTATATTGGTACCGATTATTAAGATAGGGACATTTTAATTGTAGAGCACGGAGGCCTACTGTTGGAATGAATATGTTTTACGTAGTTTTGGTATTTGGCGATACGTAACTTTATTGTATGTAAATGGGAATTGTAAAAACAAGACGCAGTTCGCTAGTTCCACTGCCTGGCAGTCGCCGCTAAGCGACTCTACATTTCGTGACGTCACCGATCAGTCCTGAGGCCTGTTCTCACGAAGGCGCCACAGACCCGCCTCAACCTAGCCATCACTGCCCACATTGTTCACTTGTTTAGGTGGTACTACGGCCCGCGCAAAATGGGTCGGAGCCCCATCATGCATGTATTATCCTCGCACGTTTTCTTGAGCCGTCTTTTAGCTAAATGCAAGAAGAGTGGGGCGGTTGGCTATTTCGTCAACAGATCTCTTATTCCAAATCTGTAGCTCGTTTTACGATGAAAAATAGTTTCTATTACACGGGAGGGAACATTTCTGGTGGTCAAATCTCAACAGCGCTCGTTGCTATCATTTATTCTTAATCCAACTAATATTAATAAAGGAGTAGGGGTAGGTGTTCCAAGGTTCTAGAAAATGTGTGCGTAGAATACATTCGCATACGTGTGGCAAGGTCTACAAGTTCGAATAAACCAGGAAGATATTGTAGAAAACGAAAGTAGTACGTCCTCCCACCCAATCGACCAGGAAAAATCTCCCTACAAGATATTCTCCAACGATGTCAGCCCAAACATTTACTGAAAACTGTTGCTGCTGTCTATCTTCCCCGCAAGTGGATTTTCAATTGCCCGCATGTGTAATTGTGAAAATTTTCAATAGCATTGTGTGAAAACTGTCCTTCGTCACTAACGTAGTACCATGGATGAACAGTGTTTTATGATAGTGCACTACACGTACAATGCATCACTTGCGTTCTGCTTAAGAAGCCACTCGAGATGGCTTATCTGCTTTCCGCAAGTGCTGCACCCTCTTAAAAAGGTATGGTTTATATCCTTTAAAAAATTCCTTTATATCCTATCTTTTAAAAAATTCCATACGCGCTGCAGAAATTAATTTCATTTATTTATTTACGTCAAAAACAGTTAAAAACTATGTGTGACGTGCTATGGGGAGAAATTAATTTGAAGTTGCATTGCTTTTTGAAGTTATTTAATGTTACAAGATGATGACGCATCCTGGTAAATTTCCCCCGTTTGCCGTGTCTAGCAATTGCATTGTCCGAAATGGCGTCCACCACGTCCTTCCCGCCGAGGAAGTCGGCCGGGAAGCTTGAATTGGCAGATGGACGTACAACGCTTCCAGTCTGTTGAAAGCGCTGCGTATTGTAAGCGAAGATCGTTGGCGATAAACACGGCCTGTTCAAAGCTGCATTGGTGTTTCCAGGGCATTCACCGCGCAGTAACTGTCTCCATACTATACATATCGAAGCTGTGCATTTTGAAGGGGGATAAAAAGCTTCTTGCGCCTTCATTTGGAGAGGAAGTAAAGCGGACTATCCCATGTTAGTAGATTTACCGCACGTAAAAGATCTTAAAGCCCAAGTGAAGCCTGTGAGCTAAATTCAAATCGCCCGTTTCGTCACCCAAGAAATACCTCCTTTCTCCGCTAGTCAGTGAAAGGAGCATAGCGAAATTTGAGTGGTCAGACGGAAGAACAGGCCATGTAAAATAAGGCATCAATTAATTTCGATTTCAATTCCATACTATTCTCAGAACGGGATCCCGCCGTTCTCTTCCACGGAGCCCTATTCGAAGAATGCCATCGTCGACCAAGCGTACTCCACGAGAGGATGCCGTCTCTGTATACAGCCTTCTTCGATTTTTTTTAAAAAGTGGCAGATGATATTACGTCGTTCTTGCATCTCCTTCCTTATAACACTTCTTTTTAACACATATGGTAAGCACATTTCTGAGGCCACAAGCCCCGTTAAGAAGAACGTTCGTGAATTAATTAAAAATATTAATTTTATAAGGCAGGAGGTGTAACAAAAACCTAATGTCATCGGCCACTTAAAAAAATCGAAGTATAATACTCTCTGTACCACTACATGAGCGCGCTGCTCAAACTCGCTGTGCTTGCGCCTGCGTCATACTCTGAGGTTACCTGAATTGCACGTCGAGAATATTCAGCAATGGCTGCAATTCATGCTCTCCTGTTTTTTCAATAAGGAATAATCTTTTGAAGTAGTGAAATATAAATTTTCGTCTCAAAATAACGTTATCTGCTAGCCTTTTCAAGGAAGTAGATCAATAGACACTCTGTATAAGCAATACTTTAAAAGATAAATATTTACATTAATATTATCACTACAAGGATTAATATGATCACTACGTAATATTATCCCAACAGGAGTAAACAAAATATATTACAGGTAAATTTAGTGTGGGAAGATGAAACATCAGGGGGTTGAGATTAATAGATTTCAATGAATGCAACAGTGTGTTTATAGCAAACACTATGTTGAAGAAGCAAGAAACATTTATACACATGGACATCCCCAGATGGCAGATATAAGAATCAAATTGGCTATATCTTGGGGAAATGTAGATGAAGGTCTTCTATGCAGGATGTCACCACAATATCTGATGAGGACTGTGGAACAGAACATGAACTGTTGGTAGCAAAAACAAAAGTTAGATTGAAGGTAACGAAGAAGGGCAAAGGACTTAAAGTCAGGTATGGTGTCCAAAACATTCCAAATACATGTAAGGAAGCAATCTCAAGGAGGGTGATAAGAACTAGCGATGTACAAGACGACCTACAAACAGTTTGGGAGTCTATCAAAACCATAATCCTGGAAGTAATCCTTTAGGCACATCCAAAAGACACACAAAAAAATAAAAGAAAATCAAGCTGTTTATCTGAGGAAGCCATTAAAATGGTTGAAGAGAGAAGGAAAGCGTAGCAAGTGGGGGATCAGGAAAAAGTACATGTGCTTAACAGAAGAGTTCAATACAAAGCAAGGAAAGGCAAGGCATAATTCATAAATGGTAAGTGTAAGGAAGCTGAAACATATAACATAAAGTCTGGACCAAAAGAAATTATCCAGATTATAAGAGACATCACGAAAAAATTAAAACCAAGCAGCTAGGAGCAGTTAAAGACAGCAATGGCATTATTCTAACGTCTAAGCAAGACACAACTAAAAGATGGCAGGAATAGACACAACAGCTGTGTGAAAGAGATTCAAGTATTAACAAACATTTCATTACAAGGAGTTATGAAGAAGAACGAATGATACTAAAAGAAGAAGTCATATGGGCTCTTAAACAACTAAAGAATGGTAAATCTCCTGGACCAGACGGCATACCCACTGAAATGTGCAGGTGACACAAGTATAGGAAGGATATTAGATCTTCGCAACCTGATATGGAAAAAGAAAGAATAGCCATTGGATTGGCAGAAAACAATTTTCATTCCCTTTCCAAAGAAAGAAGACACTCAGAAATGTGCTAGCAATAGAATGATACCACTGTCACGTCTTGCAAGATCATGTTTAAAATAATAAATAAAAGGCTAGAACCTTTTATAGAAAGAGAACTGTCAATAGAAGAAGCTGGTTTCAGAAAGGGCAGGGGAACCAGAGATCAGATAGAAACCTAAGATGGATAATGGAAGAGAGGAGAGAAAAAAAAAAAAAAAAAAAACCTCTATTTATGCTTTTTGGACTATTCTAAGGCATTTGAGTGTGTGCACCATAACCTGTTATGGATTACTTTAACAAATATGGGCATACCAGAACACAATAATTCTACTAAGACAACTATATACAGAACAAGAAGCAAGGTTCCAAGTAGCAGAAGGAACAAAGTT